TCACTCATAGCAGGAGTATAATGGAGCAGGTGAGAAAATAACAAGAATAATGAACAGCCATATACCAGAGACATTTTGTGGGGGTGAAGTGGGGATTGGGACCAAAAACGGGGGGTAGGGGTAGGGAGGGAAGTTCACGGGATTATGGTGATGGCACACGGGTAACTTGGTGATGGGAAACCCGCGGGGATTACAATTGAGATGGGGGGCAAAATGTACAAAATAATGTAAAAATAAACTTATAAAATAAAAAAATAAAAATAAGTAATTTTTTAAAAATGTGTTGCAGCCATATACCAGAGACAAAAATGTGCAAAATGATGTAAAAATAAACTTTGTAATAAAAAAAAGAGGACATTTAAAAAAAAATCCTCCCTACAACCATATGAAATAGTCTCAAGAGAGTAAATGAGGCTCCTAGAAGTAAATAGATTAAATAATTATCATGAAAATATTCTTTTTAAAGCTGCCCTTATCTTTATGTAGAACTCTGGAGACATTAAGTAACTTTGCAGGTGGCTCTTTCCAGGAGAGGAAAAGGTCTCTTACCACAAGATGAATAAGGAAAATCTGGGCTCACAATAGAAACTGAACTTGTTAAGTCTTGTAATTTCTCTGAAGAGAAATCAAGCCTAGTGCTTCTGGGACAAGGGGAGGGGGCAAAGCAGCATCTGATATGATGTAAGAATAGAAATTTGATAGTTACAGTCATAAATGTTGCAACAACTCCCAGAACTTGCCTAGTCTTGTAAACTTCATTCAGGTGATGCTAATTATCTCACTTGATCCTGACATTGAACCTACCATGGGAAATAGGATTATTTCTTCTCCTTTCCAGGCTGGGAAGCTGATTTGGCTACCCCCAAGGTGTGTCTGATTTGTATACTGGTGCTCTTAAGTGCCCTATACTCTTGTTAAAATTCTTCCTCTGAATTCATTACTAGTTTTCTTTCTGCCTCTTCTCTATCTTCCCCTCATGGATTCCCCATAAACCTGCTGTGTGGTTAGTATGCCTACCAAACTCAGTTTTTTTTTTTTTTAAAAGTTTTATTTATTTATTCATACAGAACTGGGGTACAGGCCAGAGATGCGGAGGGTGAGAGGATTCACCAGAGACAGAGTGGGGAGCAGAACAGGCAGATCCATGAAGTACGCTGCTGAGGGGAGCAGCGGGCGGGCCAGGAGAGGTCTGCCGCGCCATGTGGTCACCTCCGGGGCAGGCAGGGATCGAACTCATGTGGAAGTGGCTTAAGCTTCAGTAGTGCTGTGCTTTAACCCACTGCACCACCAGGGAGGGCCCCAAACTCAGTTTTTAAAACCCCAGAAAGGGGCCCTTCCTGGTGGCACAGGGTTAAATAAAGCGCAGCACTACAAAGCTAGCCAAGCCACAGCCGCCTCAGTACAAGTTAGATCCCTGGCCAGGGAGGTGACCCACACATTGCACACAGACTCTCCTGTCTCACCTCAGCAGTGTATTTCAGCCTTCAGCAGTGTATTTCTGCACCCTACTCTGTCTCTTGTGAATCCTCTCACCCCCACCTCTGGCCTGTACCCCAGTTCTTGTATGCATAAATAAATTAAAAAAAAAAAACAAAAACAAGAAACCAAAGGCCCTCCCTGGTGGCACAATGCGTTGGGACGCAGTGCCGCAAGCTAGCCACAGTGGCTTCAGTGTGAGTTCGATCCTGGCTCCAGAGCTGACCCACATAGTGTGGCAGACCTCTCCTGTCTCACCCGCTGCTCCCCTCAGCAGTGTACTTCTTCAGTCTGCCTGTTTTGCGCCCCACTCTGTCTCTCGTGAATCCTCTGGCCACCTCCTGCATCTCTGGTCTGTACTCCAGTTCTATATGCATAAATAAATAAATCTTAAAAAAAAAATCAAACCACTCCACAAAGAAATGAGCACCTCCCAAAGAGAAGACTGTACCAGTGCAGTCTCTGCATTGGCACTGGGCAGAACCCCTTCTGCCCACCTGTGCCTACGCAGATGCTTTTTGTAAGGGTCAGGCACCTGCCAAACATAGACAAATGGAAGGAGCAGATGCCCCAAGCAGAAGCAGGTATTCAGGAGTGATAACATGACTTAACTTGTCACCACCTTGTCACCACCAGTTAATGCAAACCCCGGGCAGAAAAATAAGTAGTTCCTTGTCAAAATTTTCCACCTGGCCCTTTCTCCTCCCTACCTACACCTATAAAAAACCCTCTTACACTTCCCTCAGCCTGACTTCTTGGACCCCAACTCTCTCTGGGGTCAGTGAACCTTGCCAGGGAGTGCAGAAATAAACCTACTTTTGGTTTTATGGCCCCTCTGTCTCTTCGTGTCCTTCCTACCGCACCGAACCTTTCACTTTTCATCCATTCTCTCCCTCCACGGGGCGGCAGCCTCCTGTCCACGGGTGAACTGTGTCATCATACCAGGGCTTCTCTTCACTGACCTCCCTTGGTAGAAGCGGCTCCCCTCAAGGCTGCCTGCTTGCGATCATGCAGACCTCTCTTACCAGCTCTTTTTGCCCACTCAAATCTGTGCAAACTTCCCTTTTCCCTCTGTCCTTTTTTCATAATACACCTGCCCTTTTGGATTTAACTTGTCTATCTCATGAAGATACTCACCTGGGAAACTTTCCCATGTCGCTGAAACTCACCTGGTGAAACTTTTTCCAGAGTTAACCCAAGGAGCCCACTCTCCAAAGCAGCATCTCTCAGACTGACTTCAGTTTAGGTAATCAGACAAAAGCCCTGTTTTATTTTGATTTTGCTTTGGGGAAAGAAAGCAGCCTTGTTTGTTCAACTCCTCCTAAAAGGATAAATCAATATGTCCAGACCTTGAGGCTCCGGGCAACTGACTTTACAAATGTTTTTGCTCATAATTCATCCAAGAACTGGATCCCATAAAATAAAATTAGTTCTTGGTTGTATTTTCCTTAAGCTACTACTTAAATGCTCCGTTGATTGTTCTTCCAAATCTCTGTATAAACAATCTCAAAACAATATTCACTTAAAAAAAATTAAAATCTATATACAGTGCCTAGAAATGAAATGGGAAGGGTGTGTGTGGCGTATCCGATTTACCTAGTTTGGTGGTTATCTTTTTCTTTCCTTTGAGGTAGAGGGGAAGTTGTCTTTTTAGACTGTTGGACGATTTTGAAAAACAGTGGGGTGTTAACAAGCTTCTCGGGGCACCAAAGAGAACGGTAGCAATTAAAAGCTAAGGGAAATTTAGAGATGTCTCAGGAGGCACATTTCCAGCGTTGCGGAGTGGGGCGGGGGAGGTGAGGTCCTCACCCTCTACCAAACTACAGCGTTTCGAGCAGCCTGCCCAGGCTTTGGAGTCTGGGCTTCAAGGGTTAAGGCTTCCATGTCACATCGGCCGTTCCAAACTCCTCCTCTCCCAGTGAGGCGAAGATATTTGAAAATCACCCCACTGCTAACTCCTCCCCCTGCGAGAAACTTCACATTGAAATGCTGCAAATGACTGGGGCCCCGTGTGCAGTCGTCGCTGGGCCCCGCGAAGCTAGGATTTCCCGTGCCGGCACAGAGGACAGTGGCCAGGGCCGGGGCGTCACCGGGGGAGGCTGCAAATATGAAGCCCGAACACTGCGGGCTTCGCTGGGCGGTGGCCCTGCTCCTCGCCGTGGCGGGGGCAGCAGGTAAGGCTGGCTCCAGGCGCCGCGCGTGGCTGGGGTGAGCCCCCCGGATTCGGGAAGCCTTAGGTCATTTAGCGGAGAGCGCGCCAAATCGCCCAATTTGTGTGAGACCTGTGGAGAATTGGGACGTAGCTTTCCCCACAATACTGGGGGAGCTGGAGGAGTGAAAGTGAAGGAAACCCGAGCGGCTTTCCCGGGAAAGATTCCCCCTGGTCTTCATCAGAGCTGGCGGGCACAGGGAACTCCATATCTGTAGCGGGGGACCCTCCCGTAGTAATTCAAAGGTGAGGGTGACCTGTCTGCTCAGCCCGAAGGTCCCTGCTGGCGTTCCCCAGCGACCGTTTGTCAGCAGAGGTTACCGCGCCCAGTGTGGCTTTGTGCGCCTCGAGGGCGCCTCGGCCTCCCGTAGCTAGCCGAGCACTTTCACCCCAGGCACTTCACGCGCAGTTCAGCCTCCGCCTACCGCCTCCGGCCCCGCCTCCAACCCGGAGGCCCCGCCCCCGATCTCCCATTGGACACGCTGTGAACAGGCGAGTCTCGAGCCACTCCCCTTGGCCAGTGGGAGAACGCGGTTGCGGAGGCACGCCCGGCGCGGGGTGGGACTTGCGCTCAGTAGGCGGGGCTAGCGCCAACGACTCGTGGCGCCTGGTTCTTAGGGTGGCGACCCTAGGAGAAACGTCGTGTCCGCCGGGGCTTCCTGTCATAAAGGAAGGCACACATCCAGGTCCTTGGAGCACGGTCCGGCAGTAGGGACTAGGCACACACTGAGCGTCGAGCTCCCTTGGCGAAGGCCGCGGTTTTCCCTGGGACCTGTGGCGAAGCCTTCACCCGCACTTTGTCCCTGCCGCCGCCAGTGCTCCGCCTGCCGGGTCTAGTTGACAACGCCAACCTCACAGGGTGTTCGGAGACTTTTACTGGGTGGTCGGCTGAGTTACTCCCTTGATGATTTTTCATTTTACGATGTTTCAAATATAAATTTGGGCAAGAGGTTAATGGGTGCTCCTCTTCCCAGTGGTTTTAAATGTACTGTCGGAAGCGTCTGATCAAGTCCCGATGATAAATAAATGGTACTTTTTTCCTACTTAGAAGGAGCTCTGCCCTCTGCCCGTAAATAGATTGGAATTGCCTGATAAACATAGTTGCAGGAAGCTTTTCTTATTGACAGGGGAATGACTGTGGCTTATCTGGGAGTGGAACAGCAGGGGAGGTTGTAGGCACGTAGCAGAGGATTATTGTAATAATTCCGTGCCCAGCTGTGTGAAGGAAGGGGCGGTGGCTTGGTCAGGAGATAACTGATCTGCATTTCACAGGCGCATGCACTCTTTCCCTAAACGGAAACAATGTCAGTCAAGTCGAGCAAGATGTATTGCTTACTTTAGTTTCCTCTTGTTGCTGCATGACTGAAAGTCTCATCTGTCTTTTATTCTCATGGTTCTTGGGGACTCCAGGGGCATCTTGAGTCTGAGTTCCCAGACTCAGAACTGGCAGCTCCTTTCTCCTCTAATGTCAACATTACTAGCAACTCTGATCCTTAGCTACCCTTAAAGCATTTTGGGCAGAGGAGGGAATTCCTTGTTCATTTCCTTTGGGAATGGAACTGGTTGGATCTGAACTGCTTGCCTTCACTTAGCCAGATGAAAATCAGGTCCAGTAATAGTGTTGAAAGTGTCAGACATGCCAGAGACACACTGGACCTCAAAGGAAATAGACTGGCCCTATTTGCAGTTGTATCTGCTTTATTCCCCCAGGGGAAATAGACTGTCACTGGTGGATAAACTTTTCTTCTAGGACAACACGGACAGAAGAGGTTTTTTGGAGACTGCAAGCTTTTAGGGAAAATTATGTGCCTCACCCACTTTCTAGGATATTTCTGCTTTTATTTGGAGACTGCCTCCTCTGATAAGATCCAGATCTGGTTGCCTTTGTACTGGGTATTTTAATGGCCCTTCATGTTCCACATTAAGTCCATTAATAGTAGCCATTCTTTGCCCTGCTGTGAAGCAAGTCACCATTTGTTGCTAAGACTCCATGGAAATAAGAGCTGCAGTGAACAGTTACATGTTAACCTTCACCAAAGGGGCAGGCAACAAAATCTACCATCAAGGTCATTTAGTTTGGAAAACAGCAATGGTACAGTGATTTCTCACCCGTTTTTAGTTCAGTTTATTTGCTCCAGTCATTTCTTGTTCCAAGGAAATGATTCCATCTTTAATTTTGGTTTTCCTAGACAACTATCTTCAGTAGTATGGGAAAAAGCCTCAAAAGTATTTACTACTTCATTTGTGTGCAGGAGAAAAAGCAGAAATATATATTCTTCTTTTCTATTTTAGTAACCTTGTTCTTGATATCATTTGAGACATAAGCTCTAAGTACTAAACTTTGGAGATTATTTTTTTTTTTAGGAAAATTCCGTATTTGTGTAATTTTAGGTATCCAGTATGAGGGAGTGTGGGATGATTATCTGGTTTGATTTTGCTTAGATTAAAATAAAACTGACATGGAAAATTTAAACTTTGATCTGTAACAAGGCTGAAACAAAGACTTGGGGCTCCTTTGGGCTGTGCTACTCGGAATAGGGCTAGTTCTTGTCTCCAGTGTTGGCTGCTGTGGGGCACCTGTCTGATATGCTGTCACTAGGCGATCGTTCTGATCCTGATGGCTGTTCTTCTGTTTCAACTAGCAAGCCCATGGGTGTTCATTTCCCACCGTGGTGTCCTGCTGTGCCTGTCACAGTTAAATCTATTCACTTTTCAAACATTGTCCAGAGCTGATGACAGCTACTGACAAAAATATGTAGTAATGGGGTCTTCTGTTCATGAGGTCTTCAGCCATTGGTGGCTGGCAAATATTGGGATCTGTTGACAGCTACATGTCCAGGGTTTTCTTTTGTTCTTTAAAGGAACTGAAGCTGTAATCACTACTCTTTCCAGGGCCACATCTTACAGATAAGATATATCCTTGTGCAAAGCTTGGGAGAGGAAAGCTGTGATCACCTACTCGGAGGGGGGAATAATTAACAGTATTTTCCCCTCCCACCTCCATTGCAAATGCCCCCAGCCTGAACTTCCTTTTAAATTTTTCCTGAGAGGCTTTGTGATAGCAGCTAGAAGTGAGTCATTTCCTCCTCTTGGCACTACTAGGATTGAGCTGTGAGTCAGTGGGCAGGGTGTGGGGTATATTATAGAGGCGCCTCTGAGGAGACATCCTGTTTGGAATCAGTCCTTGGGCAACTCAATTTATCAGTATATGTAACCACAGCAGATTCCAGAACTCAATTTACTGGCTTTTCTCTTCCCTCCCTCTCTTCTGCTCATTCTTTTAGTCCCCTGGGCTCCCAAATGGCCCCCTCTGTTACTGAGTTCTGGAAATTCTTTTAAACACTCCTTGTATTCCTCTGTCTTTGTCACCTTTATCCTCTTTTTGTTCCTTCTCATTTCTCTCCTAACCTCACCTGACTGGTTTCCTAGCATGAGCCTTGGATTTGAACTTTAACTACCCAGTTTGTTTGCTTTTTAAATTGAGGTATAATAATTGATATTAAATGAACAGATCAGTTTGTCTTGCCAAGTGTCTTACTTCAGAAAGCCTCTTCCCATTAGGATATTATTCCACAGGATAATATTTCTAGCCTTCCAGAAGTTTCCTTTATGTTCTAGTTTACTCATCCCCACCTCACCAGAACAACTACTGACCTCATCTCTTCATAGATCATTTTTGCCCATACTAGAACTTCACATAAATGTGACCATGGTATGCATATTGGAGCAAAAGAACCTAGACATACACAATGTTTTGGAGATTTGAACATTTCAATTGTCCATTTTTAATCAGATGTTTATTATGTTTATTTTAATCAGATGTCAGATTTGGGTGAGCCCTTTTTTTGTTTTGCTTTGTTCTTTAATATACATGGCACTATGAAATAGGGGACTCTATTTTTTAAATAAAGATTTATTTATTTATACATAGAAAAAACGGGGTGAGAGGATTCACCAGAGGCACAGTGGGGAGCAGAAGAAGCAGATTGACAGAAATACACTGCTGAAGGGAGCAGCAGGCAGGACAAGAGAGGTCTGCATGTCATAGGGGTCAGCTCCCTGACTGGGGATCAAACTTGGACTGCAGGGGCTGCAGACAGCTTCATAGTGACATGTTTTAAAAACCCTTGTGCCCACCAGAGAGGGCCCAAAATAGGAAAATAGGAACTCTTCTTCCCTATTTTACAAGGATGAAAGGCCCAGAGTTTAAGTCCATTGTGCAAGTTGTTCTATTAAATAGTGAAAGGCCTGAAAAATCAGGCCTGATTTTAAGCACTTCACTGCGCTGCACAGAACCATCAAAGTAGAAATGGGTCAAAAGGCATGTCACTCTTCCATGGACCCTTTTCTAGAAATGTCAAGTCAGAGTTCTCTCCCTAAGTACTTGAGAACTCAAAAATATTGCAGCAGGTCTTCCAATAATGGCATGTCATTCAATTTTGCTTCATTTTAACATTGATGACAAAACAATTCTGGTCAACATTGAACAAAACATCATTCTAAGACTTGGTTTTGCTTAAAGATGCAGTTTCTAAAATCTTACTGATGTTTCATAAGGACTTGCTGTACATGCATACATATATGTCACAAAGCAGATAAATTAATTCAAAGGAAGCAAATAAGTATTTTATTACTCAAAAAAGCTTCATTTTTAAATTTAGCGTTCTGACTTTGTATGTGTGCCTTCATCACACGAATTTTCTGTTCCTCGATAAGAAAATCACTACTACTCCTGTCCTGAATACATCCTGTCCCCAGCGATGTCCATGGAATCGCCTGGGGCCCTGTTGGCATGTCTTTTCACTTTAGATGCCTTTTAAGAACTTTAGGTCTCGTGACATGAACCCCTTGAATTTGACCTGGGCACACACCACACATGGATCTTGGTGCTCTCCCAATTTTTTTGGTCTAAAGGTCAACAATTCTGGGCCTCCCTGGTGGTGGAAGGGTTAAAGTCTAAGTGCTATCAAGCTATCCCCAGCCACTGTGGAACAAGTTCAATCCTGGACAGTGAGGTGACCTACCTCACTCTAGGCCTCTCCTGTCTCATTTGTTGCTCCTCTCAGCAGTGTATTTCAACTGGTCTGCCTGTTTTGCTCCCCACTTTTTCTGTGGTAGATCCTCTCACCCCTCACACCTTTGATCTAGAACACAGCTCTGTGTGCATAAATAAATAAATCTTTTTAAAAAAAATACAGAATTTGCACAAATCCCATGAAAATGGTAGACTCTGATGTTTTTTTTCCTAATGATATTCGTGCAAGGGAAACTTTAAATTATCAAAATGATTAAGACCCTCGACTTCCCTGGTGGCACAAGGGGTTAAGTTTCAGCACTATGAAGCTCTCCACAAGCCACTGCACAAGTTCAACCCCTGGCCAGGGAGCTGACACACATGATGCAGCAGACCTCTCGTGTTGCCCACTGCTCCCCTCAGCAGTGTATTTCGGCCGATCTGTCTGTTCTGCTCCCTACTCTGTGGTAAATCCTCTTACCCCCTGCACCTCTGGCCTGTACCCCAGTTCTTGTATGCATAAATCACTAAGTCTTAAAAAAAAAAAAACCCAACTATAAACTTGAGGCATTTTACAGGGGTGGAATGGGGAATTGAGTCAAAACTGGGGTGGGAAGCGTCCACAGGGATTACAACCAAAATGAAAAGAGGCATAAAATGAAGAATGATATAGTAAATAAATAAATTTTTTTTTTTAATGAAGAAGGGTTAAAGCATAGCACTCTGAAGCTAGCTGCAGCTGCCTCAGCATGAGTTAAACCCCTGGTCAGGGAGGTGACCCACATGGCGTAGTAGCAGATGTCTCCTGTCTTGCTCACTGCTCCCCTCAGCAGTGTACTGCTGATCTGCCTATTCTGCTCCCCACTCTGTCTCTGGTGAATCTTCTCATCGCCCCTGAACCTCTGGCCTGTACCCCAGTTCTGTATGCATAAATAAATAAATCTTTTTTAAAAATGAAGACCCTCACTTTCTTTGGATTTTATCCATTTTTCCTCTAATGGTGCTTTTCCTTTTGTAGGATCTAGTCTTATATTTCACATTGGAAAAGAAAAGTTTTCTTTTTTCTAGACAACAAAAGTGCTAATTTACCTGTAACTAGTTTAGCAGGTCAAATTTAGATGGTTCATATGTCCTTGGCATTATCACCTTAAATAAAAAACAAATTGTAGATGTTTAAAGAGAATATCTAGGGGGAAACAAAAAGTTCTCATCAGTTGGCTTGCGGACTCCCCTTAGTGAAAAAAGATTTTAAGCATGCCCTTCCCAATATAATTCCTGCACTATTATATTATGTGTATTAGAAAACAGAAATTTACTCAAAAGTGAAACTATTTAAAAATGAGAGGGCCCTCTCTGGTGGCGCAGCGGGTTAAAGCACTGCACTGAGAAGCTAAAGCCACCTCCGCATGAGTTCGATTCCCGCCTGCCCGGGAGGCGACCACATGGTGTGGCAGACCTCTCCTGGCCCGCCCACTGCTCCCCTCAGCAGTGTACTTCCTCGATCTGCCTGTTCTGCTCCCCACTCTGTCTCTGGTGAATCCTCTCACCCTCCGCATCTCTGGCCTGTACCCCAGTTCTGTACGAATAAATAAATCTTTAAAAAAAAATGAGATAAAAATAAAATACACAACATATTAACATAGCTTATTATTCATGATGATTTTGCACTATAGTCACCATGTAGTTAGGGCAGTTAATCATTAGTAATTGAGTACATGCAGTAACATTTCAAATGGCATTCTTGATCATTTTTATTTATTTTTTTTGCCTGACCTCCCAGAATATCTGATCAGAAGTTCTGTTTTTATCTTGAAAGTTGAGGGTGGGGAGGGCAAAGAGCTCATTATTAGCATTAAACTTGTCAATGCTGCCATTTAAGGCCGTGACCTGGAATTTGTGTGTGTCACATTCGCTTAGATCCCATTGCCTTAAGCTTAGTCACATGGCCACACCCACCCGCAAGGGAGACTGGGAAATTGCAGAGCCAATTTGGGGTGTTCTGCCCATGTAAAACTTAAAAGTTATTTCTTTTTTTAAAGGTTTCTTTATGCATACAAGGCTAGAGGTACGAGGGGTGAGAGGATTCACTAGAGACAGAATGGGGAGCAGAACAGGTAGGTGTACTGAAATAAACTGCTGAGGGGAGCACCAGACAAGACAGGAGAGGTCGGCTGCGCCATGTGGGTCATCTCCCTGGCTGGCTGAGGATGGAACTCCTGCTGCTGGTGATAGCCTGATAGTGCTGTCTTTAACCCCTGCGCTACCAGGGAGACCCCTTGAAGGTCTTAATAATATGGAGGAGAAGGACAGATACTTGGACATATTCTTCAGCCTCAGAACAAATAACCATGTGCAAGTTCCCCCCCTCCCTCTTTTTCTTAGACAATATATGTGTTAACTAACCTGTAATCAATTTACTGGACCAAGTTTAGATGGGTCATGTGGCCTAGGTAATATCACCTTGGATACAAACATATACTGGGTGTTTAAAGAGGACATCTAGGCCTCCTTAGTGGTGAAGGGCTCCAGTGTTAGCACTATTAATCTATCACAGCTGTGGTCAGAGTTCAGTCACCAGCCAGGGAGCAGCAGACCTCTCTTGTCTCACCCACTGCTCCCCTCAGCAGTGTATTTCAGCCTGTTCTGCTCCTCATTCTGCCTCTAGTGAATCTTCTTAGTCCCCACACCTCTGGCCTACACTCCAGTTCTATGCATAAAGAAATAAGTAAATCTTTTAAAAAAGTAAATAAAAAGGGCACCTAGGGGAAGAGGCACATCTCGATATAGTCACATTTGTGGCAGTTCCAATAATTTGTTCCCGTGTCCCAATGGGTCCACACTGAACTCAACAATCATGTCACAGTCTTGCATGTGTTGATCTTTTGGGTGTATTCTGTCCATCCTCTTCTATACTTTTGGTTCATGAAGTTGAGTATGTGGAGCATCCTTGATTTCCTGAGAGCCTGGTGTTGCTAGGATTGTAATTCTGGTTGGTTGTTATGCTGGCAGGAAATAAGGCAGAGTACAAGGTCAGTTTCTGATTCTGGCCCTCAGTCTTCCTTCCCCTTTCCTCCTTTCTCAGTGGGAGACAAATGTGGGAGAACCGAGTTCCAGTGCCGAGATGGGCAGTGCATCTCCTACCACTGGGTCTGCGACGGAAGAGCAGAGTGCCCTGACGGCTCTGACGAGTCCCAGGAGTCCTGCAGTGAGTCTCCTTGGCCGTACCTCCTGACCCCATACTAGTGGGTGGGGGGCCAGAAGGCAGAAGGAGGCTGGCAAATTGATATACTGAATATGAATGTAGAGAGAGGTTTCTGTTACCAGCTTCAAATTGGAGGTGAAATCCACATAATACAAAATTAACCATTTTAAAGCGACCCATTCAGTAGCATATTCACAATACTGTGCAGCCACCACCCCTATCCTATTCCAAACCTTTGTCACCTAATGTTCAGTTTTTTATTAATGATGCTAAATGCCCTGCATTTTGAACACACCAAAAAGGTGGATGGGGCTTCTCCCTCTGAAAACTCTGGATTTTTCCTTCACAAATCTAGGGCTGGCTAGGCAGATTGGTCTCCTCTTTGGGTGAAAATTCAATCCTGTTTCCATCCCAGTGTCTGTCACCTGCAAGATGGGGGACTTCAGCTGTGGGGGCCGTGTCAATCGCTGTATTCCCCCATCCTGGAGGTGTGATGGCCAGATGGACTGCGTGAATGGCTCAGATGAGGAAGGCTGCGGTAAGTGTACCCTCTCCCTGCCCTAATGCCAGGGTCGGCACTGTATAACGTCATGTACATTTAAAGTGTACGCTACGATGATTTGATACAGATGTATTTTATTTTTTAAAGATTTTTATGTATTTATGCATACAAGAGCCAGGGTGTAGGCCAGAGGTGAGGAGGGGCGATAGGATTCACCAAAGACAGAGTGGGGAGCAAAGCAGGCAGACTGACTGAAACACACTGCTGAAGGGAGCAGCCGGCAGAGACAGAAGAGGTCTGTCTGAGCCATGTAGGTCACCTCCCTGGCAGCAATCAAACTCATGACTTCTGCTGCAGCCACGGCCAATAGTTTGATTGGCTGAGACTTTAACCCTGAATCCCCGGGAGGCCCCACATATGTATTTTGAAGTGATTGTCACAGTAGGGCTTTGTAATACCTCCATTACATCACACATCACAATGTGTTTTTTGCTTTTAGTATTAGTTACAGGAAACCCTTAAATAGTCCTGTCTGTGTGCCCCATGCATGTACAGATGAGGAAGCAGTCACTGGAGGGGGGTGGGGTGGGGTCCAAGCTGGGGTGATTAGTCCAGGGCTCCCAACTAAGTGGCCTCTCCTGGGCTCAGGGATCCCGTCTGGCAGATGGGATGGTATGGGAAATGGGGCTCCCCTATGACCAGTTTTTCCTCCCCATCCCATCCCACAGCCCCCAAAACATGTTCCCAGCACGAGTTCCGCTGCCAGGACGGCAAGTGTATCGCTCCGGAGTTTGTCTGTGACTTGGACCGAGACTGTGAGGACGGCTCAGACGAGGCTTCTTGCCCAGTGACCACCTGTGGCCCCGCCAGCTTCCAGTGCAACAGCTCCTCCTGCATCCCCCAACTGTGGGCTTGCGATGGGGACCCTGATTGTGAGGATGGCTCAGACGAGTGGCCAGGGAGCTGCGGGGGCCTCGACCCACTGGCCAGGCGGCGGGACAGCAACCCCTGCACCACCCTGGAGTTCCACTGTGGCAGCGGCGAGTGCATCCATGCCGGCTGGCACTGCGATGGCGACCCCGACTGCAAGGACAAGTCTGACGAGGAGAACTGCAGTAAGGCCCTAGAGTTGCCGCGAGCGCCTGCCGGCGCCTCTCCCAGCGTGGGCGGGCCTCCCCTTTCCGTGGGTGGCTTCTGCTCCCTGAGGTCCACATCAGAAAATACCACATTCAGGTGAACCAAATAAGACATAGGGGGGGAAATAATAACGAAGCAAAAACAGACAGAAAATAATAAACCAAAGATCTCTGGCGGGGGTGGGGAGGGGCAGGGAGGAAAGGAGAGGGGTCTTTGAGGAAGGAGGAGCAGAGGGACTTAGGTGAGGGTGCACGGGGTATTGGGGGAGGAAATTCTGTGAGGTCTACACCTGTGGGGGGGGGAGTAAACATTGTTTAAAAATGATTTTTTTTAAATTATATCATTCAGTAAGAAATTTTGAGAGACCACGTCACATAATGCCCATTTGGGCATTTATCATTGTTCTAGTATTGCTAACCTATGCCTGACTCATATACTTTATCATAGTTACTAATGAACAGGAAAAAGCATAGTATATGCATGCCTTGGTAGCATCTGAGGGTTCAGTGTCTACTGGGCAGATTTAATCTCTCTCTTGATGAGGGGAGCAAGCTGAAAGTCGCCCTGTTCTTTTGGTTCAGAAAGGATCCTGGGCTCCGGCCTGGCTAGGTTACCTCTGAGCTGTATGACCCTTGGTACAGGACTCAGCCTTCCAGTGCTGTAGTCTCCTACCCTGAAAAATGGGGGTGATAGCATTGGCCTGTGTAGACCTCGATCTGACATGCCAAGGAATTTTTCGTGTGGAGAAAATGCCCCATGACAATGCTGTCCTCACTAGCTGCTACTGGATACGGCTAGTGCACAGCGGAATGAAGCTATAGATCACTCTAATTAACTGAGAGTAAGTAGCCTCGTGTGTCAGTGGCTCCTGTGTTGAAGACCTCTGCAGACAGCATGGCCCTGTGTCAGTGATCTTGACCCATAGTCATTATTGCACATGAATTTAGTGTTTTGTTTCTTTGGTCTCTCTGCTGTGTCCTAAGTGTCCAGTGTTGTTACTGCTCCATAGAGGTAATGAGATTTCTTAAAGTATCATATGTTAATATAATTGATGAATGTTTATGTAATCTGTTCTAAAACTTTACAAGTTCATTTAACCCCCATGATTTGTGAGTGGCTTTCCCTGTGCCTTATAGTTGAGGAAACCGAAGCACAGAAAGGTGGTGCACCCTTCTGAGGACCCACACCTGTGACAACTAGATCCTACTATTTTAGCTGTCATCAGAGTTCAGGAAGTGCTTTTTTTTCCTTAATGCAAGATATACCACATGGGTTAAAAATAGGATGAGTTCCCTGTTCTCACAGTGGAATATCCATTTAAAATATGGAGCATCAAACTTTTAGGTTTTTTTTTTTTTTTTAAGATTCATTTATTTATGCATACGAGAACTGAGGTACAGGCCAGAGGTGCATGTGATGAGAGGATTCACTATAGACAGAGGGGAGCAGAACAGGTGGATCTACTGAAATATACTGCCGAGGGGAGAAGCGGGTGACACAGGAGAGGTCTGCTGGATATCTATTATCGCGGTGCCTGTGGATAACTTTATAGAGCTGAGACTTAACCTCTTGTGCCTCTGGTGAGGTCCCATTTTGGGGTATTTTTAAAGAAGATGGAGGGGAGAATTGCTTTGCTCAGAGATTAACTGTTCCTACCAACAACCTACAATTTTTAAATTGCAAACATTTTCTTTTTAAGATTTTATTTGTTGGCGCTCCCTGGTGGGTGCAGTGGGTTAAAGCACAGCACTAAGAAGCCAAAGCCACTTCAGCATGAGTTTGATCCCTGTCTGCCCTGGAGGTGACCCACATGGCACAGCAGACCTCTCCTGACCCACCCGCTGCTCCCCTCAGCAGTGTACCTCATCAGTCAGCCTGTTCAGCTCCCCACTCTGTCTCTGATGAATCCTTTCACTGCCCATGAATGGATAAATCTTTAAAAAAAAAAAAAAGATTCTGTATGCATAAATAAAATATTTTTAAAAGATGTATTTATTTATGCATAAATAAATAAAATATTAAAAAATATTTTATTTATGCATACAGAAATGGGGTACAGGCCAGAGATGCAGGGGCAATGAGAGGATTCATCAGAAACAGAGTGGGGAGCAGAACAGGCAGATCAACAAAGGACACTGCTGAGGGGAGCAGCGGGAGAGACAGAAGAAGTCTGCCATGCCATATGGGTCACCTCTGGGCGGGGATCAAACTCAGCACTGAAATGGCCATGACTTGGCTTAGCTTTTGGTACAGCGCTCCAACCTACTGCACCACCAGGGAGGGCCCCTAAATTGCAAACATTTTTATTGTGAAATGTAACCCACAGTAATGTGCACAAAACATAAACATACAGTTTTATGAACTAGCACAAAGTACAAACCTAGAAGATCTAGGTCTAGACTGCGACCGTCATTTCCCTACTCTAATCACCATCTGTGTCCTCTGAGATTTCATTGTAGAGGCGTCTTTTATCACACAGCATCATCTCAAACTTCTTTGAGTTCAGAGTCTTAATCGTTTGAGTGGCTATATTACATGCCATGGTATTGCTCTGATTCAGCTTCATTTTCTTGACCTGCCTCAGCCTAGCTTGGGCATCTTTACTTTTCTGTTGAGAGTGACCTGCAGGCTCTGCCAGCTTGGTGACATGCTCTAAAAAAGGCATGTAAGGAAATGTGGAAGTTGTGAGTTGTGTTTGTGTCCTTACCCCCCCACCCTTTTTCCTTTTCCAAATGATTCCAAATGATTCATCATTGTACTTGCAGCCACATACAATGGTTTCAAGTTTACATTGGCTAAAATTTACAATATGAAGCGAGTTGTACCTGGGGAGTTTTTCCCTGTAGTGGGGAACAGGTAAAATGAACAAGTCACTGACTGCTGGTGGACAAGGTTCGTGCATCTCTAAAGCTCTGCCTTGCGGGTAGACAGTCCCCCAGGTCCCAGGCAGCTGCCTCCTGTTAGCCTCTTGGAATCTGTGTGGAAGGTGGGACTTCTTTCCTCTTTGCTGCTCCTTGAGAAAAACCAACACCAGCTCTCTGTTTTCAGCCACTGTCACGTGTCGGCCTGATGAGTTTCAGTGTTCTGATGGGACTTGCATCCACGGCAGCCGCCAGTGCAACAGGGAGTATGACTGCAAGGACATGAGTGATGAACTCGGTTGCATCAACGGTGAGCCCCTTTCTGCAGATAGGGGGTAGCCCCTTGCTGTAGTTGGGAGGAAGGGGGAGGGCAGGAGGAGGACCTGGCTGGATCCTGGATGAGGGTGGAGCTGAGGGCAAGCCTCCCAGGGAAGCCCCTGCTGTGGTGTGTGTCTTTGGGCAAGCTTCATTTTCACTCACTGGAAACGAATATGTGTAATGGAAGCACCTTTCTCAGGACCATAACCTTTAATGAGGTGGGAGGATACAGGATAGAGAGTTGCATGCACAGTACAGTTCCACAAAATGCACTGTCCTGGATTTACAGTGGCACTTCTACCAGAACCAGCGGCT